CCCCAAAACCCCAAAACCCCAAAACCCCTTCGTTAATTGCGAATTTTGAATTATTAACTACACGAAGGAATCACAACGTCATCATCAAAATTATAATCAGATTTCCTCTCTGCCTTTTCAACAAAATCCAAAAAGTTCTTATACGGCTTCATGTCAAATTTGGAGATGGCTCCTTGCATTTTATCAGTAAAGGGTAGCAAGTAGGACAAGCCTACTACTTCCTTACGGAGTTTGGCAAGATTCTCCATCAGAGTCTCCTTGAGTTCTTCCATCTGACCGTTGGTCAGATAGTCTTTGAAGAACTCACCGTTTTCAGTGATGGTCTTCTGAGCAAAGACAATACCCAGGAGGGTGAAAACCTTCTGGGTGTTCTCGTCCTCTTCGAGTCTCGCTAAGAAGTCAACATAGTTCTGCAAAAGGAACCTATCAAAGTAGGCAAAAGTCATTGGATAAATGTTGAAAGGTAGAAGCTTGTCCCAAGCTTCTACCTTATCATCAGCAAACTGTAGCTTCATCCCTGTTTGATGGATCAAGGTTTCAGCTCTTATTGTTAATAGCTTTAAAAGGTTGGTGACGTCATTTAGTGTTTTTCTAAATGGAGTAACCAAAGGAATTTCAGAAGTTAAAAATTCAAAGGTTGGCATCAAAGGCTTTTCTGTAAATACGTAAGCCAGATTTTGCAAAATTAATTTTCCAGCTTGCTGCATCAGAACGTTATTGTCTCCTTCCCAAGTTCTATTTAAGTCCATAACTGGGATAATTGAGCCAAGCGCGTTATAGCTTGAGAAACCTAAGCCTCCACATGCTTGTCTTCCTTCACTGCAAGTGTCAAATGTATTCCATGTGTAGATTGCCTTTGAAACAGATGATATTAAATGAGCAAAACCTGTCATTTTATTGTCTGGGCCAGATCCACCTTGTAAAAATTGATCCCAAAATTCAGTGATCTTAGCTATCCCAGCATGCTGTACAAAGTGACGAGCAAATCTAGTGATCAATCTATAATGATTAATACTATAGTCTATAAGTCTCGTTTCTTTCTTAGTTTTAGGATTTTTAAATTGCTTCCTGACGGCCCAATATCTCAGAGCTCCTGATGAAACTGCAAGAGCACAGTCGTTACTCACCTGAGTGATAGCGATTCTTCCGCCACTCAAGCTTCCAAGTTGCACTGCCATTAGCTTAGCTTTAGAAGTGATTGTTGAAGTATAAACTCCATCTGGAGAGATATCAGCATATTTATTAAGTAGAGAATTCTTTCCAACTTTGAAGTTATCGAACATAATCCATCCATTATCAATTCCTTGCATTCCGATCTTGTCTCCTCAATCTCCGATCGTGAGCCCATATAATGGCTCATGGATTTCAGGGTCTCTGATTTGTATCAGAAAGCCATGAACTCCATGCCTGACTCCGTTTATGATCAACTGAGCAAAGACTACAGCTTTGGTAGCTGTGCTGGCCAGATTTCCAATCCAAAATTTCCTTGACGTCTCTGTAGGCGAGTTGAAGATGAACTGGTTGGAGATAGGATCAAAATGAGCAGTTGTTTCCAACTTACTCACATCCGATCCGTGTCCAAGCTCTGTCAATCAAAATCAGCCATAATCCTCCAAGGTAGCTGCCCTGAGAAGTTCATCTTGGTGGATCTCAGTTCCCATATTCTTGATACTCTTCAGATAAAGTCCAATTTGGATAGCAAATTTAGTGCTGATCTCTCCTCCAAACGGACTGATTCCCATAATACATCTGTTCAGTAAGTCAGGATGATCAATGACTTTATGAGGAGTCAGCACTCCCCTATCATAGAGTTCGGACAAGATCTTCTTGACCCAGTAATTGGCCTTAAACCGAGCTGCTTCCCTTGACTTTTCTTTGAAGTGATTCTGCTTCATGATGGAGTCTACTGCAGCTATCACCTGGTGATGAACCTTGGGGCGAAGATCATTCACTACTCTGAGAGCAAGATCAAAATCGAAAGTACAGTTGTCTAATTCTCTATTGAAGTCTTCAGAGGGATCAAAGTGTTTCTTCAGCAGAGTAATTCTCCTAATAGCTTTCTCTCTGTTACTATTTATCATTGCGTAAATTTGATTAAATTCGACTCTAACGTCAGCAAAAAATAATTAAAATTCTCTCAAAATCGTCAATTATATCCTTCTCCTAGGGGTTTTGGGGTTTTGGGGTTTTGGGGTTTTGGGGTTTTGGGG